GTTTCCTCTTCATTCGGGTCAGATCGGCCTGGGATTCGGTGTTCATCGGTGAGAATACGTCACCGGAGCTACTGGTCGTCTGTTGCGTAAAACGTTCGAACGCAGCGCCTGCCTTGATAGCTAATTCTTTCAGCGGTTTATTCAGATATACGGACAGCTCTGGAGGGGCTCATGGGTAGGCTCTTGGGGACGTGCATTTCCTTCATCCATTGTTCGCTCAAGAATAATAGTCCAGCGATACGCTTAATTTCGCGGAGCAACGCTGACGGTTTGCGATCGCCAAGCTTGAGCCCATTGAGCTATTCAAACCGAGGTCGTGCCCTGGGCTGTGACTCTTTTAAACTCACTTGCTACATCGTTTCATACTTTGCCTCATTCCATGGGCAGAGTAGAATGTCCGCAACCAGCGTCACAACAGACGAAGAAAGGCGTGGGACAAGCTGATTGTACCTTGGACGGTCCGCCATAATTCCCTTATTTTCCATTTCGATCTCGAAGCTCTTGGCTGTGTTCCATGAAACTTGGAACAGCCAAAATAAGCATGGTTACGCTGCGAAAAGACTCAAGTGCCATTCTCGAAAAGTGAGTCGAAAAGATAAATGATGAACAAATACACGATGGAACTACTAAAATTGCGCGAGACAAATGAATACACGTATGTAATCAAGAAAAAGGAACCAACTGATTAAAATAATAAAAACGAGGAAAATGTTGCATTCGCGCTTGCGAATCGGGGTCACCGAATTGTAGGACTAGTAATTACTAGTCCGAGACGGTGCGCGGAATTAAGCAGGGATATCAGAAGACAATTGCAGTCGGACACAGCGGACTGTATTCGATGGGCTACAAGAAAACTCGGACGGATGAAGCAAGACACGAGATACATGTTAGTGCAGTAACTTACAAGGCTGTCGAGTGTCGATCCGGTTGTAAGGAAGATTTAAACAAGAAAGAATAATGTACAATTGGTCAAAAATTAAACAGTACATAAAAGGTAGCGTTTATCTTTTTGGGCGCTACACATTCCAAGCGAGGCAGTCACATGTAGGTTCCTGGACAATTCGTTGGAAGCAGATGAGACGGTTCATTAACGGCAGAATATTTGAATTCCCCCGAGCTGCCAGGGATACAGCCACACGTACTTGAAATGAAAATGGGCACATAAATTTTCATGTTGCGATTTATCGACCAGCCAAAGCTTTGTAATGGCGAGCTGCTTGTAGTAAAAGGATTACTCAACAACATCGTGCAGGCAACCATCTTGACAGAACTTTTCAAAGGTGAAGCGGTCCTCATTCCTTGCATCCCGATGATTCCTACTGATACGCCATTTAATTTAAGGAAGTGTAGTTTCCTATTCGTTTGGCGTTTTCAATCACAGTCAACACAGCTCAGAGGCAGTGTGCGGGTTAGATCTACGCACCGACTGTTTCTCACATGGACAATTATTTGTGGCGTGTTTTAGAGTCGGCAAATCTGCCAATCTCCATATCTGCACAGATAAGGAAACAACACAACATGTGGTCTACCAACAGATGTTGGGAAACGGAAGCTATTACACAGGTGAGATGTTTCTCATGTAGCCTCTTCATTTGACCAGACAACGGAACAGACACGTTTCATGCAACTAAATCTATTACCAAGGTGGGATTTTTCTTTTCTAACATTTGCGTTCAACCAGACAACGAAACAACAAACAACACTGCATACCTACAGGTTTCGTGAAACTACAAATAGTGGAAAGGTGGGGATTTGCTTTTCTTTCACCTTGAGTTAATCACACTGAGCCACAGCAACGCGTTTCCAAGCATAATCTACGATGTTCATGGCATGTCTTTCCAGGTGTGCGAGTTCGATCTACGCACCGATTGCTACTCACATGGAGAGTTATACGTTGCGTGTTCTAGAGTCGCCACATCTGCCAATATCTATATCGGCGTAAATGTAAGAGTTTTATTTTCTTTCATCTTAAAGTTAACCACACTGAGCCAGAACGACCCCATTGCAGTTTAAGAGACTGAAATTCCCTCGGTAGCTCAGTGGTAGAGCAGCGGACCGGAAATTCATGGACCGGGGTTCCATTCCCCGTCGAGGCACATTATTGTGTGTGAATTCTAATCGTGACTTCTACTTTCTACAAAGTCCCTAATCGTTTGGCGTTTGTAATCACAATAGACAAAGGTCAGAGATAGTCGTTTTAAGTGCACTTCTTAGATCTACGCAGCGACTGCTTGTCATATAGATAACTTCACGTTGCTTGTTCTAGTAGGCAAACCTGACAATCTCCATTTGTTCACCAACAACGTTACAACACAAAAGCTCTTCTACCCACAAGAGTTGTGAAACTACATCTTTTACAAAGGCGAGATGTATTTCCTTCCTTTTTCTAAACCTAGACAACAATACAAATAACAGCGTTGCATAACAACTAGTATTTCGAAAATACATCAATTACAAGTTTAGATTATTCTTTGCATTCATTTTCAGTTACCCACACTGAGCCATAACAAAGTGTGGCCGGTTACAGATAGTCACTTATAAACGGCTAATTCAATTCGGTTGACCCATAGGTATCAAGATCGACGGGATATTGTTTGGTAGGGGTTTGCTTATGTGACATTAGAGTATCGTCAGGAACGGTGGTGGTCGAGGTTCTTATCATGTGAGGTGAGCTGTGGAGAACCACTTCGAAGTGCCCAGTTGCCACATTAGATAATTTATCTTTTTGAGCTCTGGTCTGCGAACACTTAACCCAAATAGCCGTTTGAGCTAATGATGATGACGAAAGATCATTAAGAGACCTCTGTAAAGGCGTACGATCTGGTTTAATCAATAAGTCTTTGAACTCGGTCCGCTTGGTTATGATGAGCTGATTACTCAACGAGTGGTTAGCGGATTCCTCAGTTGAAAATTTAAAAACGAGCGGACAGCAATGTATCGGCGTTTTCTTTCTCAGAGGAAGGCATTTGCATTCGATCTCCGGCACGTTGGAGGCTATAAGTACTGCAGTTTTAACTTTATCCAAACTAAGTCTATCAGGAATGCTAAAACTGATCATATTTTTCAGTCTATGCATTCGTTCATGTACCTCAGACGCATTTGAGGCGATTAACTGTCCTGCCTTTCACATTTGGGCTGGAGAAAGGCCTTCCCGTGGGTTACTGAGAAAGTCTACTGAAGCCCGATATGATGTGAATGGTTCGACAATGGTCACTAATTTTCTCATTTCCTAGATTTGGAATCCCAAGGGGTTGACCATATCGTTGTGTTCTGAAAGTAGAATAGCGATGGGATTAGGATTGGCTCGTAATTAATTCGGGGCCTCTATTTTCGTTTGCTTCGTTCGTATGAAACACTACCTTTTGCTTGTCGAAGGAGGCTAGGCATTGTGTGTGCCATAACAAATGAACTGTACTGCTGAGAAGGCTAGCTGAAGTGGTTAGGGAAGGCTGATGAAAAAAACGAAGCAACCAAAGTCTTAAGTGCATGCGCCACGGGAAAATGGCAATGCAGAAATAAGCGAATGCGATACAAACCAACCGGTTTGTACGTAGATTCGTCGCAGTTAGACACCGACAGACAGCCACCACACTTCCGGGAAAGCGCTTTCCTAGATTGTGGTGGCTGTCTGTCTGTGTCTAACTGCGATGAATCTACACAAAAACCGAATAAATCCCCCTACTACTTACAAACAACCAGTTTTTAGTTGCGCTCTATCGGTTCAGTAGAAGTTGGTTCTGGTTGATGTCCGTTCACTTAAATCCAGACACTTGCATTAGTCGAGGCTGGTCTCCGATGCCAGTTCTGCCTGAGTCAGGGGACTGCTTCACACAGGTTAGATTTCTGCAGAAAAATCCAAGATGGCGGACACAGACAGCAGTTAGGCTAATCAATGAAATCTCCGAAATTAGCTAGAGAATATTCATCAAATTTGCAAAGATTGAAAAATGCACCAAAAGAAAAATATCTGTATAGAATTCACACGGAAAAACTCGTAGAACATACAGTAATCCCGAAGCTAAAGAAGAATCTATCAATGTAGTTCCGAAATCCGCATTAACGTTGAGCGCACTCAAAGGAACTAAACAATGTTATTCGACGAATCGTCTCCGTTAGTGAGTAAACGTTAGACCCGGTGGTGAAAAGTGCACATGGACAAACTTTCCTGACTCTACTGTAGTAGTTACCAAATGGGCCATCGTGACCATAATCCGGGATTGCTTTTTGTCCCCAACCACTCTCATTCGCTCTGATTTCATCTTCCCGGGAACTTGTAAATGTCCATTGTGAACTTTCTCTAACTTCCCCATACTCATTTATCGAATGGGATGTGCACTATGGAGAATACGCGAAGACGAACTTCTGGGAAGTAAACGAAATGCAAAATGCAGACAGTTGATCGATTAGTTACGACAGAACTGACATTGGTGCATTGATCAGTGCAGTTATATCAACGACAAGATTGGAGGAACAGGATGTGCTTTTGCGGTTATTCTTTGGTCAGCGGCGCTGCATCAAAAACATAAAACTATACAGCAGAACAAAGAGAAAAAAGATGCCCCGAAAACGCCGAGATAAATAAGAAGGCTGCACTTTCTGTTCCATTTCTGCGATAAACTGCTTAGTAGCTATTACGAATCGGAGCAAACCTGTTTTGCAAAATGGGACAGTTGATAAACATTATGGCGCACCCATCTCTTTCGGACTAACCAGTTTACCAGCAAACTTGTAATAATGAGCATGACATGTCAGGAAGTGTCCAGTAAATTTCCTTACAACCGAGCCCTTACAATTCAACCAGGGACCGATTTGTGTTATTGAGTAACTACAGGGTTGCTCAGTTAAGCAACTAAATAAATAACGTCATTCTCATCCACTGTGATGAAGACGTCTAACATGTTGCGTAATATGTAAGGTGAAACTAAGAATCTGTTTCCCTTAATGCCTCACCCTGCTACCCTACTGTTTAAGTTGGGATTGTAACGCTATCATCTTGTGACCGTGGATCAATACTACTTTTTTAAATGTAAAGTCGCCGGAATCCGGCCATGCTTGGCGAAATGTGTGTCGACTCCTGGTGATGTCGAGACATGTTGGTCTATTGGATCAAATATCCGACAGATGCGTTTACCCAGTAGAGAATCCAGCCCAACGAAACGCTTTTCTGCGTCAACTACCTCAAGCCAACGTATGTCAACCGTTCGGATGCTTTCCAGTTAGCGGCAGCGGTCATGTTACGCGGTGGGACTTAACAGAACAGTCGAACATATTGGAGAATGCCTATTTGAAATATCACGAAGGGCTCAGTAGTATGGAAGATGAGGTGTATAGGCAACGTATGTCATCTATGCGTTGCCTCATCGATGCTCTGAAAATGGTGAATGAACAGCATTCCCAATGTGTTTGGCAAAATGGTGCATCGGATACACTTTTGACTGCAGCCTACGTTACCAAACCGATGATTCGAAGTTTAAGCAGCAGAATAGGCTTGGATGCAGGTAAATTAGACGGTGCATCTCGACAAGGCACTCGGTACCGTTACCGGGAAGAGAAGTCTGTCGCCGCTAGAATTCGTCCATGCTTTATGGATCGGTGCCCTACTGCAAATCACTTCAAGCTTAACTTCTTGCGAGCAGGTGACCGAAGTCTGGACACAATGGCTACCAAGTGGAGACTACTCAACTCGCTACCCCCATATAACTTTCAGTTAACAGAACACGATTCACATGGCGTGTCAGCAAAACCACTGGGTTTGCGGAGACATCGGATTGCTCATCTGCGATACACGCCCTAGGTTTCTTTTCCGGTTCGAAATTATTTTCGCTCGCTTTCAGCAACACGTGCGAAAAGCTGCAAGATGGGACGAAGAGAAGCGCGGATTCTGCTTCTGTGAATTTTAGGTTCACGAATGATTTCGCGAATGCTTTCATCCTATTAAATAGAAAAACATTCAAGTCAACACGTGTTACCCGCGCTACACGGTCCTCACAAAGTTATCCTCATCAACCGCAGATATCAAACGTCCTGGTTTCAGTAATAGGATTCTGTTAACTTGCAATATTGCAAAAATTCGCCGACTAAGTTTTGCAGGTGCAGTGAAGAAGTATAGTGGTGAACCGAGTTTGCGTTAGGCATATTTATGGCCACAAGGTTCAGGCGTGTACGGTAGGTTTCAGTCGATTCGCTTCCGTTGTCCCAAACTATCAGTCCTTTTCAACTCTGAACCATGAATGTCCACTCTGGTTGAGACCAAAAACGGTTTCCTCCCCTCTCTGTGCATTAGCAGAAACTTGTATAGCCTACGGCATACTTTAATTTTGATGGTTTCTTTTCGACCATCAAGTAAAAGTTGCATTCCCCAGTTTTTGTCATCCTGTAGAATTGGCATGATTTGTTGTGATCATTTAAGCCGATATATAACGAGGAAGAGCATTATGTAATCGGTTGGTTTTATTCAAATCCGGTGAACGATAACCATATACTACACTAGACCTACTTAGTGAATCGTGATTTATACTAAAGTGGACCACGGTCGGTTCAAGCAGTAGATTTCTTATCTATAACCGCTAAGCACTGAGTGTTTACTCCTTCCAGAACTCGTTGCGAAATCCGCCTTTTTCCCATTCGAAACCTTTCAGCTGTAACAGTTAGACTTGAAGCGGTATAGGAAAAGTAGAGATTGCTGGTAGACTCCTTTAACACAGCACTAAGAAACACCCCTTGAAACGTTTTACTGCACGGTCATGAACTAATTACTGAGCTGCTCTGGGTACTCGTCGCGCGATTGGTGTGTGACATGCCGTCGCGAGTTGGATCACGAGTAACTTCCATGTAAACGTTGGTGAGTTCGGTTACCAAAATCATCTCTGGAAAAGATAAGTTTACTTCAATTTAACTCAGCTCAGCAAGACTAGCCTAACAGATAGAAAAAGCTCTGCCCAGCCATTTAATCTTTTCAGGATTTTTCTACAGTGTGAATTATGTGAACCTATGGTATCACTATATCTATTAGAACCTCCGTAAATTAACCACTCAAGAGACTGGAATAGTTGTCAAAATAGCAGAGTTCTATGAAAAATTTAAACGTTACTTACTTTCCTTCTGCGCGTAGTATAGCATGAAATTTATTTTCACATAAACCCGTTGCAAACGCATTAGACGAGGTCACGTGTAACGGCAAACGCAGTTCTACCATACGTTGTTATAATACAGTGAAACGCAGGGTAAGTACGCAAGATAACACACTGTTTTCAAGAAAAAATCGATTTTTGTTTCATACTCTTTTCACAAAGATAACCCAAAAAAGCGCTATCGGCCACAGTTACACTACTCAGCATGCTTGGACATCATTATATAGCAAATGTTTTAAGTAGTGAATTCATGGAAGATACTTGGAAACGATCGAGTAGTCTTGAGTTCAGAGAGGTTTAGAAACAATCGGTTAAAACCGAATTTCAATAAGGCTTCAGACGTCAAATTGAAACAAGGGCAGGATGCAAAGAAAAGATAACTGCGCAAGTTCGGGCGTTTAATATCTGTGCATCCTAATGCTACCGGTCCTACTGACATGTGCGGGTCTATTTGTAGCCATTTTGATGTAGTTAATATGTCAAATAGGGTTTTGAATGAAACTGAATATAGATTTTTGGAGAAAGGTTTGACATTTATCATCAATAAATCTAGGATATATGCGGAAGAGATTATTTCAAACTTTGAGAGCGCGGTGACAAAGTTGCCCGCTACGAAGGCAGAGAATATTCGGGCACAGTTAGTAAATATCATTAAGTTTCAGCAACCGGGTGAGTCAAATCTTCCGCAAACTGAACGTACCCCCTTACATTCCTTGAAGGAAGACCGCAGCATTGTACTTACAAAGGCTGACAAAGGAGAAACCCCGGTTGTAATTAATAGGTTAGAATACTTGGGAAAAATGGGGCATTTGGAGACGGGTCCATATAGAGCATTTGTTGAGAAGACCGTGACGTAAGTAATGAACAAGAGTGAAACGGAGGTTGGTAACTATTTAAGAGCCGTGAAGGACGATTTAGGGGCAGACAAATGGTACAGTTTATAACCACAATCGACTTTACCTCCTAGGGTTTATGGCTTGCCAAAATTCACAAACCCGAAGTTCCCGTACGGCCCATAGTCGACGGTATAGGCTCCCTGACCCATGAACTGGCTAGATATTTAACAAGCCTATTGCAGGCTCCAACTGGGTGCATGAGTACATTCGTGAAAAACCCTTATGAGTTCCCTCATAAGATAGCAAGTCTCGAAATTGAGTCGGAGGAGTTGATGATCAGCTTCGATGTCACATCACTTTTCACCAATGTACCCAAAGAAGAGGCGCTAGGAATAGCAAGACGTTATCTAAATGAAGACGTCACTCTGAGTGATCGGACGAAGCTAACGTTTAACCAGATAATCGAGGGTATGATAGTTTGTCTTAAGGTGTCTTATTTCTTGCAGTCGAATATTTACAGTCAGGAACAATGTATTGCTATGGGATCGTCAATACCCTCTGAATTGGGGAACTTGTATATGGTAGACTTCGAGAACAAGGCGTTAACAAACACCATTAACTCACCAAACGATAAGTTTGTACTTGTTAAACAGGATAAGAAGGATGAGTTGCTTGATCCCTTATACTCCAATAATGAGACGATACAGTTTACTGTTGTAGCGGTACAATACCATTTCTTTACTCCCTGGTTCACAGGAATGGGGGAAATTTAAAGACGACGATATATCGCAAACCAACGTATACTGACGGCGTACTCTACTACACTTCGGGTCATCCGAAACTGGTTTATGCTGGCATAGCCTCAGCGCTGTTCTACAGAGCACAAATCTTGTGCACGACAGAAGAGCACCAAAAGGCTGCGCGAACAGTGGCCATGGGCAACCTATTAGAATGTAATTACCCACGGCGGCAAGTCAAACGCCAATTGCATAAAGTGCTAAACCGGCTGTCAAGACCCGCAATCGAGTGGATAGGGACTGTAGGAGTTCCGTACAAGGAAGGCACTTCGGAGACAATTCGGAGGTACTAAACAAGCAAAATATATGGGCCATGTTTCAGCGAGGTCGAATGTTACCTTTGTCGTTGGTACACCTGAAGGAGCCCTTTCCCAAGGATGGGACGAATAGCTGTGTTTATAAAATTAAATGTAAGGACTGTGCACATGTGTAGATAGGTCAAATGGCGAGGGAATTACGCACATGAATTTCAGAGCACGAGAGACGCATTTCATGAGCACCAAGAAAGGAGTTTGACTACAGGCAATAGTAGGAGCCTCGGCCGTGGCTGTGCATGCATTAGACACGGGTCACCGGATAGACTTGAAAAATGTAGAGGTCATTAAAAGGGGTATACGAACAGCACCTGAGCGGTTGATTGCTGTGGCGGTGGAAATTGCCAAATCTGCGACTGCGTGAATAGAATGGATGGGGTAGAACTCTCTAATGCGTGCTGAGCGATCTTAAGCCTGCCAGGCTGACGAGCATCAGTGCGTGGATCAGGTTGGGAAATGCAAACCGACGCCCATTGTCAACACTATGAGATTATCCGTCAATGTCATGCCGCACAAAGAAACACGTGAACTGTTCTTATTGTGATTGAACCACCTGAGGTGACATCACGAACGGTTACTGTAATGACACCTTGGCTCAAGTCTCGGGTAACGTGGTTATCGCCTTTGTTCGCTATAAAATCCCACCCCAATTGCACACTGGCTTACCTGGTCTGACGAAGCTCTTGTGTCAAAGGTGAAACGTCACCAAACTATTATAACAAACGATTGTTTCCAAACCTCTCTGGACGCGTTTTCTGTTGCATTAAAAGTGTGCTTCACATCAGTCTCTTCTGTATTTCCTTGATTCCCGCGGCAACTTCATTTTGTTCTGTAACGCCTCAAATGTCACTACTACCTTCTATGTACAATTTCATTACTTAACAATGGTACATTCTTATTGCTTTATTCTTCCTTACATCCGCCTCGTTACCTGACTGCTCTGTAAGTTGTCGCCTTACATCTGGCTCCTGTTTTGCTTTATTCGTCCACGTCTTTTTAGCCCATTGCATGTAGTTATTTGTGTCCGTCTTCAGTTACATCCTGATATCCGCGCTTGATTACGCGCATCCTATCGGACTAGTATTTACTAGTCTTGAATTTTTCCTCATCTTCCGGCGCTTTTTGTTGGTACCCTTAGGGGCGTACCGCAGTCAGGATTTCTTTGCAGACGGCATCAGTGCAGCTTGCCGTCATGATCCGTTTCAACAAAATTTTGACAATCTAGTCCCACAAAATCTATACTAGGAGATGGAATGTCTGTTAAACCAACAGCTTCTTGCTCGAGAGCTTGAAGAAATCCTGCTTTCTTGAAGCACTTCTGTATTGTTTCTGGCTGAACTTTGTGCTAAGCGGAGCACATTAAAACACAGCATCCAGTACATTAAATGAAGCCATAGATGAAGTTCTTATCGCTTGCAGATCATTCGGATTCACTGATGCCATAATCCATTGCATTACCTGGGCCCGCTAATGAGTTTTGAATGTCGATTATTCCTTGGCAGATGGGTTGCAATTTTCTGGTCATATTTGGAGGCAAAATATTAGTGTAATGTTCGTGAGATTATCGACGTGGATATACTTGCGACAAATGTTCACTGTCAGTAGAATGAGTCGTTTCTCCATCATCATTTCTCGGTCTAGCTTTCATATTCAGTCGTCAAATATGACAGCAGTCGTCCATGTAGATTTGTTTGATCTCCAGGTGACTGGAAGTTTTACTGGACTCGGCTTTTGCACACACGTTGAAGATTTGACTGTACCCACGGATGCCGCGGACTTATGAATTGCCGTGTGCTGGATTCTTCCTTCGCTTCGTGATTACTGTGTTATATGTGTTTATCCTGTGTGACTTGTGCACCAAGGCTTTTCTTCTGGTGTATTTTTCAATCTGTGCAAAGTTGGTGGAGATTCTGTGACTAATTTTGGAGATCTCATTGACTGTCTAAACTGCCGTCTGTGTCCGCCAGCTTGGATTTTTTCCACCTTGTGATGCCGTTTTAGGCTACCAGTGGTTCGAGTTCGAAAGTTGTTTGACATAAAGCTCATTCACTTCCGTCTTCGGCTTCAGAGGTTTGTTCCATGTATCGCGTATTGGCTTACCCATTGATATTTTTCGAAAATCTACATTCGTCATCGGTTTTTCCAAGTCATTTGTGGTAAATGTCGCGGTTCAAGACATTGTAATATGCGGTGACCGTGATCAAAAACAAGAAAACCTCTGTTACCGGCGGAAACACGGTTCACCTTGGGCCGTCAAAAGCCCAAGTGAAAGTACCTCTGTCAACTTACCTTCCCCTACTACTCCGTAATCTGCACCAACACCAGCGTTTTTGTCAACGGCCGTAGCTCAAGTTCAATAT